GTTTTTTAAAATCTAATGTGTGGATCACATAATATTTCAAAAATTTTAACTTTTGAGTATAGATGATCCGCACTGTAGTTATTGACTATGTAGTTTTGATTATGCAGCATCATTATGCAGAACGCATAAAAATCATCATCGGCCTATTATGAATCACATGCAAATTTGAATTTTCTCATTAAAAATTTGCCGTGTAACAAAAAAATGCTGTCGTCCAAAAAAAGAAAATTATTTAATTTACCATATTCAAGTCACTTAATCATCGTCGAATTCATTTTCGTTGATATAATGGAGGAAACTAAGCCTTGAGATGTTGTGTCATACGTGTTATTTTTTTTAATTCAAAATTGACACGCCTACCAATCTTTAAATAATTAATTTTGTAAAAATTATATAAATGATAAAAAATTTAAATTTTTAAATTTTCAAACAATAATTTAAATAAATTAAAATTTAAAATTTATTTAAAAAATGAGCGACTTAGAACATGACATGAAACATGTCGAGAGTCCAAAAGTTCAGAGTCTGTATAAACCTCGTTTACTCGAACTTAAAGGCTCAGTTTTACCAAATGTTATTGGTCCTTCTATAATAATCACCTTATTCTCTGCCGGCATAGTCACTCTATATGAATTCAATCAATTAAATCTTAGTATACCTATTTCTTTAATTACCATTCTTGGCCTGGTGGTTGGTCTATTGCTTACCTTTAGAACCAATACTGCACACAATAGGTAATCAACCAATTGGCTAGTTTTAATTATTATTAATATATTAATATTATATATATATTTCTATAAATAATTATAAGGTATTGCGAAGGACGTAAACTGTGGGCTACTATGGTAATGGCAATACGCAATTTCACAAGATTTATATGGGTACACATAGACGACAATGACACCACCGCTGATATAAAGCAAAGAAAGCCAATAGAGCAAATAAAGCAAGAGAAAAAAACCGCAATCAGTTTATTAACAGGATTTGCAGTTGCAACAAAACATTTTTTACGTGATGAGGACAGTTTTCTATATGAAGATTTTAGGCACTTGATTTCCAAATTGCCTGGATTCGATCAAAAAACAACAGATCCAACTAGAAAAAAACCAACATTACGGGATCAATTGTTACACAGGACATCAAAACCTCATTTGAGAGCTTGTAAAGAAAGTTGCTTTGCAAAACACAACATACCATTTGAAATCTGTCTTTACCTATCATCTTACGTTCACAGCAATACTAATAGAATCACTGTTCCAGTTGCCACAAATATGCATAATTGTATCAATACCATGGTGAATTGTTTATCACAATTTGAAAGAGTGTCGAGAAGTCCAATTCCTCTTGCCTATTCTATTCATTTGGATCAGACTGTCTGGATATATTGTTTGTCATTACCTTTTCAATTGATGGGTACGGCTCATTGGGCAACTATTCCTATTGTATTCTTTGCTTGTGTAGTTTTGCTTGGTATTGAAAGAATAGGCGCCGAGATTGAGAATCCATTTGGTTACGATGAGAACGATTTACCATTGGATTATTTTTGCGAGTGAGTAAAAGAAAAAAGATGAAGGAGAGGGTGGAGAATGTGAAAAATTTAAAATTAATTAATTATATTATTAATAATAATTATTTCTTTTTATTTGTTATATATAATTTTTATTTTTAGAATAATTAAACAAGAACTTGATATAATTACTTCACATTCTGTTCCAGCAATGGAAAATTGGGTAATTGCTGATGAAAATCAACAAACAAGTGCATCGGATGCTAAAAATTTACCAACAGGAGAAGTTAGATCTTTACTTTCAATTATTGAGAAAAACGAAAGTTTTGATAGCAATAAAAGAATTTCTATAACTATTGATAAAGAAAGTGAAAAAGCTGAGAATGGTGGTAATAGCAAGAGCGATAAGAAGTGAAAGAAACTAAACTTGAAATAATTTAAACAACATTAAGTAATAATTAAAATTAAAAAAAAAGTAGATTATTAATTTAATTAGAAATGTTTATAATTTTTTTTTTTTTTTAATAAAGGCAATATCCTGCTCATATAATTTTATTAGAATAAAGTAAATATAATAAAAATAATT